TWKTRCTATAGATTGCTGTCCATGTTCTKCAAAGAGGAGTTTCGCCGTCGTCTGTGGATATCGAGGGTGGAATACCCTTACATTATGCCGCGTGTAATGGTAACAAAGGCCTTTGCGAACTTTTACTGCGTAAGTGGGAACTTCTGAGATTTTTATCATTCTTTTCACTCACTCTCTTTTTTCTTATCTCCCTTCCTTCTATATTTCTTCTTGCTTTCTTTCTTTTCCCTCCCTTCTTCCCTCCTCCCTTCCTTCTCTTCCTCCCTTGCTTCCATCCTTGCTTCATTCCTTATTTCTTTCTTCATTTCTTCACACCTTCCCTCCCTTTCCTTCATTTTATTACTCCAGTTTTAGATGATTTGATRAYAYYTTYTTCTTCAYTACACAGGATACAACCCTTCAACYATTAACGTCGCCGACCCATCTGGTATGACGCCGTTAGCTGGCTGCTTTGATGCCGACGGCAATTTATCGTCGAGGCATAAGTTGATTGAGTAAGTRWARGRAAATTATWAAGTCAACTTCGACACTTTYTCTAAAGACTGTACACTATATATAGGTCGCTGATTACTTGCCATAAACCCAAAACYCTGGACGTCTGTTACAAGGTTTGCGGAGACTCGGAGGAGAGTACAACACCTCTCATTGAAGCCTGCYTGAGCCAAGATGAAAAGCTGTTGACATTGCTGCTAGATAAYAAAKCAAGCGTCAATTTCCCTAAGGTACCTGTTTTGACGTCATTATTATTGTGACAACATAACGTCATCGTACTGGCGTCATACTGACGTCATTAACATACTGATTTCATCATAATGACGTCATTAACGATTTGACGTCAATAAACAAATAGTATAGTATATCATTGAACTAATTATTTCCAGGCGAATGGAATAACACCGCTGATGGAAGTAGTGCGGGCTAATTTGGAGGACATTGCCAAGGTTCTTCTTTATGGGACTACAGATCGTGCACAGTGGAAAAACAATACAACAAAGGTGGATTTGACTGCTGTTGACAACGATGGGAAAACCGTCATCCACCATTGCGTGCAGAATAGAAAGGTGATTATTAAATTTATTATTGTTGTTCAGATGTTACAACTGTTGCTAATGAGAATATATACATTCTTTTGTCCTCAGTATGGCTCGTCAGAAAATGTCAATATGCTGCTGCTCCTTGCAAAATTTGGCGCACCTCTTGAAGTGCGTGACAGTAGTGGGCAAACACCGCTGGACTATGCCAACAAACAGCAGTCGGGCAARATGAAAGAGGCATTGATTGACCTCATTGCAGATAAGGACAGTACAGAGGTAATCATCATCCGTTTTGTCAACATTTAATATCCCCACACTGTATTCACATTACGGACATTACTAATCTACCGATCTAACTGACATTGTATTTTYATAGAATGGCAATGAAACCATGGAAACAGATGAAGAACTAGGCTTTGAGTTCACTACAACTCTWGCGGATTTCTGGGAAGGKCCCGAACCTGATATCGAGGCTGATTCTGAAGCCATGTTGGCCGAGGCGAAGACTGATGACGAGGAGCCGGACTGGGACCCAAGCAAACCGCCACCGGTGGACCGTCATGCAAGTGTGGAGAATGGGTATGAAAGAGGGACTATTGATTCAGTTGTTAGCCTACTTAAAGCATTTTTTTGCCGACAAGGATATGGTAGTAAATTTTCATTATGATCGATCGTTATTGTTTCTACCAGGGAGGTGTATATTGACCCCGACACAGGGATCCCGTATGACATACTGATGACCAAGGTTGATGTCAAGTATGGAATGTTTGGGCTGAACAACTTTTACAAAATGCAGGTAAACTATCTTCATTTCAATTATCACCATTATCGTGATTATCATTACATTTTATATTATTTTTATTTAACCCAGGTTGTTCATCATAAGGGAAAGGATCTTTATGTTTTGCTCAACCGCTGGGGTCGCATCGGCGACTCGGGACAACATCAGAGAACTCCGTTCGGGAGCCCCGAAGAGGCAACGAGCGAATTCCGAAAGATTTTCCGAAGTAAAACCGGAAACAAGTGGGAAGAYAAGGACAAGTACGGAATCTTGATGTAGCATAATTTGTATTATCGTGCCTGTTAAAGTATTTATATCTATTGTGATAACAATTGAGTCTTTTATTGTAGCTTTCAGAAGATGCCYAAGAAGTACGCYTTAGTGTTACCTGAAAGAAACCCAGAATTCAAGCGAAAAAAAGCTCGAGAARTCCTGAAGCCATTCGACTTAGAAAAATGTCCTCCATCTAAACTACCAAAAGAATTGCAGAAACTAATGGAAGACATTGTTAGTACTTGCCCCCTGCTAAGTCTTCTTGTTCTTGTTCTTGTTCTTGTTCTTGTTCTTGTTCTTGTTCTTGTTCTTGTTCTTGTCCTTGTTCTTGTTCTTGTTCTTGTTCTTGTTCTTGTTCTTGTTCTTGTTCTTGTTCTTGTTCTTGTTCTTGTTCTTGTTCTTGTTCTTGTTCTTGTTCTTGTTCTTGTTCTTGTTCTTGTTCTTGTTCTTGTTCTTGTTTTGCTCGAAGAGGCTGTTTTTGTTGTCATGATGATAACGATGATTGTGATTATGATGATGATTAATGATGACTTTTAATGTGTTTTCTCAGACTAATGTCCAATTCATGAAGGAGGCGATGAATTATTCACGYTGTCGTRTCGATCAAAACTAYTTGCCGTTCGGACGTTTGTCTACCGCGACATTCAACGAGGCTCGAGAGATTTTAATGAAAATCAAGTGAGTTTGGATTACCTTTCTTTTATCCCATCTTCCTCYCCAYCTTYCTRCCTGWCWCCYTTTSTTTCTCTCTTTCCCTTTCTCCTTTTTCGTCATTTTCCTTCTTTTCTRTTTCCKTCATTTTTCCCTTCTTGCTTRYGTACTTGCTTGCTTCCTACAATTTTCCTTCCATCCACCTTCTCTAACATCCTTCYCTACCATCCTTCYATCCTCCCTTCCTTTATCCCTTGCTCTCTCCCTCCCTTCTTTCCCACTTCCATTTTTCCTCACTTCATTCCTCCCTTCTCATCTCTTTTTATGCAATACCTCTTCATTCATAATAATTCTACATTCGTTAATGATYCTAGGAATATACTCTCAGGAATCGACCGACAAAACATGAAGGGAAGCGAGGACAAGTTCGAGCAGGTTGGTAGAATTCAAACTACTAGACGCTCGTAGAGCGTTTACTCGTGCTCCAAAGACACACCGTTTGTAACCCTACAGTATAACTTTAAGTTGTTTTTTTATAACTTTAAGTTTTCATTGGTTTATCTATTCAGATTGTGGACTTGAGTAACTCGTACTACATGTTAATACCTATGGCTGGTTATTCGTTTGAAAGAATCCGCCCTCTAAACGAAGTATCGGACGTCGATGAAAATCTAAARTTACTAACTCAGTTGACAGAGCTTGCATTTGTGAGCAAATTGCTTCTGGCAGCACAATACCGCTCTAAAGGTTAATATACACAGTTTAAGTCTTGTTTTTATTGGTTCTTTACTCCTAGTGACGTCATGTCATTTTCTTCGAGATGCACTATGGGATTTACGACAGTTCAAACGGAAGCCATGTTGGTGTTTTTCACGAATGTTTTGCGACAAACAACCTATTTCAAACAATCTATTTCCGAGGCAGTTGTTTGTGCATACTCTGRTATGCAGYCATCTTAATTAATGTTTTTSAAAGTATTCTAAACAATTGATAGTGTTRCTTTTGCAAAAAAACTTCGTCCTTCGTTGTTTTTACAAGATGGCSGMCATCTTGWTACTTTTATCAATACCCAGTAATGCACTTCGACAAAACAAATATGACGTCATTTTTGGAAATCACTTTTGATAAAATCATAGATTCATAACCACMATTATCATGTACACCGATTTTATCACGTATCTATTAACTTATCCTACCGCTAAAGTTGTTACATTRTCAATCTTATTTGTGCCAGACATCAATCCGCTAGACTACTGTTATCGTGTGCTTGGTGTGAAAATTGAGCTTATGGACCCCACGTCAGACGAGTGTCAGCTTATCCTAAAGTATGCTTACAACAGCTCAGGTAAGCCATTCAATAGACTTGCCCCACATGTCCATCACACTCTCCAGTTAAGGCAGTCGTTGTTCCATTGGACAGTGTTCATGGCAACTTTTCGCAGCGGCAATAATTATATGGAATTTGCTCAATTCTCATGAGATTTGTTGAATATTTCATTGTTTTTATCACGTTGGATATATAGCTTTATATCTTTCCAAGAGAACAATGTTAAATGCGATTGAATGTAACTGTGTTGTCGTCTTTTACAGGAGGAGGAATTCGAAGTAGTTGGGATATYGATGCAGTATATCGTCTTTGCCGACCAATCGAAAAAGATCGAATGAAGTCATGTGGTGTCAGTACMAACCACCGTTTATTGTGGCATGGTACTAGGACTGCGCATGCTCTTGGGATACTGAARCAAGGCCTTTGCATCGCGCCCCCTGATGCTGTCACAACTGGATGGCTATTTGGGAAGGTATGAATGGATAACTAAATGAAAGAATGGACGATTGAACGAATGAAATATTGGATTGTCGGATAAATGAACAACTGCTGTGATAGATTATTAATAAAAATGAATGGTGGGAACTAGCGGTAAACTAGTGTGAGCTGCGTCGGTGTTTCTAACGAAACAGTTGTGTAAAAAGATAAATCTTACACCGTAAAAAAGTAGGTGAAACGACTTAGTGATCTTTCGGACGTTTATCCTTCGTCGGATCAAATAGAACAATGAATGAATGAATGGACGATGAGATGAATGGATAAATGACAAATGGATAAAAAATGAATTGATAAATTATTTCAAGATTTCATAATATAATTGATGACTAAATTCGTTGATAGGGTAACAAACGTATGAGGCATAAGTTTGTTGATCACTTATTTGGTGTTAGCCTCGCTCACAGGCATCTCTCACTCTCACTCTTTCTGGCTAGTCTGGAAACGATCGTCCTCAGTCTTCYCGCTTCTCACCAAAGGAATCCCACCCCCTTAAAACTTCTTTATATAGAGAGTTGTCTGTGAAGGAGCCTAATTTGGTATATCTTACAGGGTATTTATTTCTCGGACACTCTACGAAAATCCGCGATGTATTCTGACTTGAACTACTGTCGACAAGAAAGAGCTTCATTTATTCTGCTAAGTCAGGTAACAACTGAAATAAGTATTTAGCAATAATCATCACCGACAACTAATAAATTAATTTCTTTTTTAATTTTTTTTTTTCGTTTTTTAAAGGTGGCACTAGGGGTTCCACACGAATATACCGAACGTCTCGGTGATGAAATAACAGGGCCACCGCCCAACCATGACAGTATWTGGCACATGAGCGACCTAGGCCCAGACCCCACGCATGACGTGACCACGCCCTATGGAGCGGTGCTCTCCTCAGGACCTCTCGTGAAAAACCAGCCGTTGGTGGAGAAGTACAAAGACAATAGGAGAATGTACTTTACAGGGGATAGTGAGTTCATAGTTTACAACGAGSSACAGGTACAGCTTAGATATTTGGTTCAGTGTAGAAGATCCTGATGATTGTCGTCGTTTAGTYGAGGTATTTTCGCTTCTCTGTCGAGATTCTGTCGTCAACTGGAAGTATTTTCGCTTCTCTGTCGAGATTCTGTCGTGCGTATGCCGTTCGTGTCGAAGTTTGTCGTCTCTATCGAGGAATTGTCGTCTTTCCATGAAGGGTTTGTCGTCTGTCTGTCATTGTTTTCCCTCTTGTCTCTGTCAAAGCCTTGTGTGTCGTGAAAGTTAAGTATTCTCTATCAATCGTTTGTCGTATTGCTGTCGAGGGTTTGTCGTTTGTCGAAGTTTTTTTCGCCCCCCTTGGCCACATTTTGTCGTGATCTACTTTTGTTAGCGATTTTTCTTTCTTCTTTTCGTCTTTAGCAGAATCATTTTTGTGCTTTAATTAGCTTTTTAGTGTTCTTATCACAAATCATTTGCGAGTCTTTAGGGCAAAAAATGCATGGTAATTTATAGGTGAAAAAAAAGTAATAAGTGTAATTAGATTTGAATTGACTGGTAGATAAATTTCTTTAAGAATATAATAATTGATAAATTTGAAGGGTAACTAAGTTATACCAATAAAGCACAATTTTAGTTATTTAATTTTTTTACGTAGAATTGGTTAAGATACAAACTGTTGTAAAAGTTAAGTTGACCGGAAACCAATTTAGCGTAGTTCAGGAGGATTAATAGCGTCAAGATAATTGTTATAATATAGAGTAGCTTCCATAAATCCGTTAACCGAAGTCAGCAATACATAACTTTCTGAAGTCATTGCATTTCACGGGTTTAGGAATAATATTAAACACGTTTTTTTGGGGTGTAAGAAAACAACGTAAAATTTCTATACTTCACAGTCGCATACAATGCAGTCTTTATTTAGCATGATAGACAGCTGTCATTCACAATACTAAAAACCATGGTCTCTTTGAGACATGTATAAAAGGTCCAAATAATAAAGGAACTTGTAAAACAGATCGTTGAGTGGTGGATACTGATTATATGTAGTTGGCAGGTGTACGTGTTACTGGATATACTATGTTATCTTTTCATGAAGTACTAAGCTCAGACATTACTGAAGCTGCCTTTGATGTTTGTTTATAACTAATTCTCTTGTTTTAAAAGACTTGTTTGAACTCAGAAGCGGCGACAATGTAACGAAGTATACGTAAGTCCAGGTGTATTTCGACTATCGTCTTGAAACCGCCTCTGCCTTGGCTTAATCTATTCCAAGGGTTTGCCTTCATTCTAGCCATTTCACTGATGTTTATAGCAAGCTCAGATACATTCACGCTAGTTATTTAGACGTTGAAGGTCGCATCCTCTTATTAATGCCTCGAGCTCTCAAACAATGTTTTTTACATCATTCCACTTGGTCCAGCTTGTGAAAAATTGGCGAGGAAAAGATTGGCGTCCGGTTGCAATTGACTTGAGATGCTTGGAGTTTCTGTTCTTACTTTCGTTGGTGAAACAACTCCAACCCACTAAAAATGAAAACAAATGCTAGCTGATCATAAAACCCGTAAGCGCGCGACTGGCAATGTTTTCCTGCTTGCGAGCCCGTTTGCTTTTTATATTGCTTGCTTGGTCCTATTTGCTTAAGTGTTTGTAGCTTTTTAATTCCCATTTTTCAATTTAAGCAAACACGTTTGGAAAAAATCTTATTGCGGCAAAATTGGCTTTTCTTAGGCTCCTATTCTGGAAGCTCGGCTTTAAAGGAGAGCAGCTTTTCCTGCAAGTTTCTTTGACAGTTTCTTACCTCAGTAAGTGAATGTTCCTGTAATTTACGAGCCTGCATGTGATCTAATGTAACGAAAATATAATAATTGTTATTATCATCATTAGACAAAATCATCATCATCATAATTACTATCCAAGGTGACGCCATTAATCATGGCAACTGGATAAATATTGTAGTTAATCAATCGACCACACAAAATAATTTCCTGTTTTCTTACTTTCTATAAGTTGTTTTGTAACAGTGTGATGTCTTCGAAAGCTTTCGCTCGCTTGAACTGGATTCCCAAGCATGTTGAATACATCTACAACGTTGAATGGATGGATAAGACGACTTAAAACTTAGAATGATGAAATTTAAAGCTCGGATACCTCTTAGAAGACTAGCTGCCCAAAGTTGTACGTAATTATCAGGGATTTTCGCCGATAGTTGCATCGCTGGTTGGACCATTGTCAAAGCTTCCTGGAATACAAAAGAAAACATCCCGATAATTAGGTTCACAAGTGCTCGATGCTTTCAAATATGGCGGCGATAACAATTGAATTTCACAATTACATGGAAGACATGGTATATATATATCAATTAGTTCTCTAATTCTTTGTCTTTTTTGTAATTTTGGCCTCATGGAAAGTAGATGTTATCGCACATAGGTTTATCTTACCTGTGGATTACCGGAGGCTAAAAACGTGTGTCCAAGAAGAACCAGAGAACAAGCTGTTAGTCGATTGAGGTCTTCGGCATTCGATACTTTTAGAGTTTCTCTTAAATATTTTCTGTATTTAAGAAGGAAGGAGATAATTATTGATGAGCAAGAATGCAGGAAAGGACAGAACGAGCGAAGGAAGAGAAAAGTATAAAACGAATTCATGGAAAAAGGAGACACTTAGTGAAACGAAGAAGGAAGGAAACGCTTACTTTGCATCTTGGATTCTACTCTCGAAAAACGCCCGTAGTCCACTCATATAATAATATCCAGCTTGTAAACTGTGTGAACTACAAAGAAAAAAACAACAAAGCTCAATTTCTATCACACTCGAGTTCAAATGGAAACAAAGAGGAACGAATGATGGAATAAAAAACATGCACTTTTTCATATTATGGAGTACAGAAATACAACTTACTTTGTTGGTAAATTTGATGGATGTATTCTTTGAGCAAGAGCTGCTAACTGGAAAATATGATTGACGTACATGTAAGTTAGTAATTGCAAAGGTTTAGTAGATTTTTGATTATAGTCCTCGAAAATTCAGTACACATACCTCATGTTGTCTAGATTCTCCAGCTCGTATGTAAATAATAGCTAAATTCAAACTAATAAAAGAAGCGAGTTCTGGTCTTGCACCAAGCTGAAAAATACAGTACGTAAGCAAATCAAATGATTACATTTAACAATTATTTGAAGAATGAAATTTTAGTGTTTTGCTTTACCTTCATTGCCGTATTAAATTGTAAAGTTGCTTGCTCCATTAGATTCATTGACATAGCATAAAGACCCTGTGCAAGGAAGAACATGGGAATTGAGATAGCACTTACAACTAATTTCATAATTTAACTCATACAAAATGGTGGCTGTAAAGCAAGTCCCACCTAATACCCCTTCAAAACATAATTTACCAGTAACGTGTGGAGAATTGGTTTCTGTTTAGGGACTAAGGTAGGCTCATTCTTCAGGCACTGATATAAGATAGATATCTGAAGAACAAACGTTTACAATATATAGAGTAAGTAAGTGACCGATATTCATGTAAGTTCACCTTTGCAAATATACATGCAGATTAATTGCTTTGGCTGTACCATCACCGTTCAATGACTTTTGCTTACTTAATATTATATTTCATACATACTGTAGCACATTTTGTCGTGATTGTCATCATTGAAATCATCATCATAATCGTTTTAGATAAATCATACCTCTTTAATAGCATGTGGTGTTTGTCCTTGTACTATTCTACACAAGACATTGTGCTCAATAAGCATCATCTGGAATAATGACACAAGACTGCTAGGAGCAGTCACTAGAAAACAAAATAAACTTGTTAATACATGTATTTTGTGAACAAATCAGGGTTTAATGCCAAATATTAATATTCTGACCAAGTGRCCATTCACCAAAGAAGTGAAAGGCAAATTTCCATAAGATCAAAATAATATGGTATTTTTGGAGTCTTGCCTTCAACTGAACATGTACATGCATGTTTGTTGTGCAGCAATGTTACCTTTTAACCTGTCAATTTGATTGAGAGCCTTAGCACTGTATTTAAGCACTTTATCCATGTAACCAGCGTACATTGAATGCATCACAGTCACCTGAAGTGAATATAGAAACAGAAAGTCATTAGTGTACATGAACAAAAAATACAATGATGACAAGAGTATCAATAATAGCCTTCTACACAGTTCCTTGTTCCATCTTGAAAGCCATCCATGCCTTTGCATCGAAGCAAGACGACCATTGAACTTAACAGCTGTCTCGACCGTTGAGCTCAACGGTTGTCTTGTTTCAATGTAAAGGCACTGCTACCGTTCAAGGTGGCGCACATAACCGTGAAGGAGACTATTACGGAATGCTATTGACTGTTTTTATCTGGGAAAAGGGAATTCATTCCTTGCATTTTTGGAGTTGGTGAATGAACATTTGGAAAAACAGAGTGACTTTGATACTGTGCTACATGTACCTATTCTTTACTATATTTTAGCATATTTATTTATACAAAGTGAACTTTTCTTACCAGGTAAACTAAAACACAAAGGTACTCTCTTGGCAACCAGAGGAACTTCTCTACATCATTCAACATAGATTCTACAATAAAGACAACAAGAGCATTAACCATCAGGTGCTAAATATTTCTAAGATATTATATCAAACCAAGCTAGTAAATTATTTTGTGACCTATAGCAATACTCAATGTGACGTAAGCCTTTGTTATTCATGTGCCAACCAAAAGGCAATTGGCTGTTAGCGACTTGTGGAAAGCCATTCTGATCATGGTTGGCACATAAACAGTGAGAATCACTAAAGTAAACTTTCCTATCTTCTGATATTTGCTAATATTATATGAATTAGTATTTCATCAATATCATACCATCAAAGCTCATCGTGGTAAGTTTTTGTATTGATTGCTGTAGCTGTTTCAAATATGGCTTCACAGTCTTTGCCTAAAAAGAGGTACAATAATTAATGGAAGCTATATAAAACCTAGATAAAATATTGTTGTTTGTACCTGTCCAACAGACAAGTGGTGCCACACTTTAAGAAAAAGATAAAACACGACTAATGACTCTCTTTCATAACTTTGGACCTGCCATCGGTCCAGAAATATCCCAGTTGAAGATAAAACAGCCACACCATGAGTGAAATCTTTCTCAACAAAAAGGATCTAGTATAAAGAGATGAAAACATCAGTTTATCTAAAGCTGTATGGAGATTCTATATATTTAATGTAAAGTTTACATGTACATACCAAAGCTTCACTCAAAGAAAACAGGCATCTAAGAGATTTAATAAAAATATGAATTACACGTTTGGACTTCAGCAATCAAATCAAATCAAAAGTGCATTTCACTTGCACATGTAGAATACATGTATGTCAATCAACCAGCAACTTGGGATGAAATTAGGTTGGGTTGCACGAGTAACCTCAAAACAGGTGCCATATTTCTATGTAGTTTTGTAAAATTAAGATTACATGTACCTCATATATTGAGAACCACACTGTTCTGCCATCATTTCTCCCATCTCTAATACTTCTATGGATGCCTTGGTTTCTTTATCACAAGCGCATATCTCCTGTAGGCAATAATTGAGGTGAATTAAAAGTGTGGAATTGTGTCATGTATTTCTCCTCAAAAAAAATCTAAAAATCCTCAAACCTCAGGTAGAACTATAAGTGAATGACCTGTATTATCTGCTGTACAGAGACATCTAAAATGTGTCTTAACTTACCGCTAGCTGGAAAAACAGCCTGAATTGCCAGTAGTAAACTTTGTCACCTCTTTTAACTTCAAGGGCTTGTCGAAGTACTTGTTTGGCAAGAGGATACTGTGCCTGCAAGCCATTCAAAAATTATTATAGAACTAATCTAAAAACACTTTTAAAACCAAGACTTATAATTCAATGTCAGTGAAGATGAAATGCCTCAAGTTTTGCTAATGGGTTAGCCTTCTGATTTGTTTCAAACAGTAACACTATCCCTCGACTTCATGTTCTGTCATCGCCACCATGTTGGATGATGATAACAAAAAATTCCTCATTAGTTTTGCTTGTTCAGTCATACAATATGACGGCGATAGCTTTGTTATATAGTTCTTGAGGGATTTTTGATCATGTGGTTGAAACCCATAGCTGTTTACCTGGTCTTTGTAGATCTGAGAGAGTAAACTTGCACCTTCAAAGTTGATTTCTTCAAATCCTGGACCCAACTAAGTTACTGAGTTAAGGATTCCAATATCATAGGAATATTTTTTTATTATGCAGAAATAATTTCTCTGTATGTTTTGGCAAGCTTATTTTGATTACCCTCTAGAGAACTGTAATTTTTATGGAAATTCAAATAAATAACTGAATGAATGAAAGTATAAGTGCACGAAAATATGAATAAGAACTTGGAAAATACAAGCCAAGAGTCTAATGAAAATCATGAAGGTGCAAAGGGAATAAGTATGATCTGAATACGTATGCTTTCTGCCATCGATTTTCAATATAAAACGATAGAAAATAAAATCACACATCAATAGTAGCCCAAAGTACATGGTGGTGGTCCATTTTGCTCTGAACTTGAAAACTAATTTATTCTTTTGTTTTGACAGCCCGTGGAAGCGCACGGAACTTGATTTGGAATCTTACGGTTTCACACTTCGCAAGACATCCAGAGCAACGGGAACACAAAACAAGAGAATTACTTTGTAAGTAACATAAATAACAGTAAAAACACCAGTAATAATACATTTAGCTCCCATTCTGCATGTAGTTTAATATTAACCAGTCGTAGCCACACATGTCAACCATATACAGCTATGCACTTTGCTAATACTAGAACTAGTAGATCGATTATATCAAGGATACTGTCTGCGATAATAGAATCTACAAAGGCAAAATAGCATTAATCAACACAAAACAACTTTGTTAATTAAATGAAAGGTTTATATTGACGATCAAAACTGTAAAAGTGATGTTATAATTCGTTACAAACTCACAGCTTTCTCGAGATGCGAACGCGCCAAATCACTATTCTTTGTGTATTTGACCAAAAGTCGACCGATTTGAAGATGTGTTCTTGCTTGGATCGCTGGTGACGGATGAAATTGAAATACAGCTTGCAAACACTGAAGACACTCTTTGATTTTAGGAGGTTTTGATGTCAGAAAACCGTTTGCAAGGCCTAAAAGGCCGGAGTACCAAGAATCACTTGAAGTGACCGCCATTTTGAAAATCTCTCCTGAGGGGGACTGGGGCTAATGACGCAGTTCTTTCATGATGACGTAAATTCCGGCATAATACATTCATTGCAGAAAACGATTTTTTTTCCTTTGTTCTTTCCCTCTTTTTATGCAGCAGCATTCAACTTCAAGACGTAAACTCAAAGTATTTTATTTGTAGAAACTTTGACTAAAACTTTCCGATCAGATTATATTGAAATGAAACGCAACGTAGCGTGATTCATGCGACGAGGGCGGCATTTGCTCCGTCAGTAAAACAATGCCCAAATGACCTTTCCCTAAAATCTCTTGTGCTTTGTTTCTTTCACGCCACAAAAGTATTTCAAACTTTCTAGAGAATTGAATATCTGGATTTCTCATATTTTTATTTACTTTTTAAACTTTTTATTTATTTTAAAGGCACTGGCAGCTACCATTTCCGCTCGTGTATATGTGGTTCTTTGAATGCAGGTCTGTACTTGTATTTTTACACCGTCATTTTCTGGGGGGAGCACGAGTTCGCCTTTTTTAGTCACGATCTTCAGTTCGACGTCTTAGAATTTTCAAAAAGCACTTGAAGATGACATAAATAAAGCAGTTTTGCAGGTATAAAAGAACATTATTTACCTAGTATTTACTAGTTTATTAGAGGAACTTCACTTTGAGCACTTAATAAGTGACGAGTCAGCAACACAACTGCCCCCTCCCCTCCCTCCACTTCCCTTATTATAATTCTATATTCATCTCTCCCCTTTCTTTCATCAAATATAACCATGTTATTTTGCTACCATCACGAATTCCTACAACGCGCTTAAAACAGGCTAAAACAGAAGAACAAAAGACATATGATACGACAATGGAATTGTATTGTATATAAGCACAAACCGGCAACTTTTTGTTTATATAGCGCTGTAGTCCTGGTCTGAGTACAGACTCACCCTTAAGCGCAAATAGATCTACAATACCCTTTATCAACTCAACCCAGACTAGCCAAAAACTGAGTTACTTTTCTAGATGCGTTTTCAAATTCCGCTTGTTTTCTTGATATTAGCCATCCTTCTCCATACTGCTGAGGCTTGGAGGCGAAGACGTCGACGTTGCCGCGGCTGTGCGTGGTCAAATTGGGGGAGTTATGGAGCATGTTCTGCATCTTGCAACTGGGGAAAGAAGTATCGCTCTCGTTATAAGACTAACAATGGAGGATGTGGTGCCGTATGTTATGGTTCCTCGACGCAATCAGCTAATTGCTATCTACGTTGCTGTCCGGTGAATTGCGCGTATAGCTGGTCTTCATGGAGCCGCTGTGCTAGATGCGGCTGGTCGTCGTCGTACAGAACACCTACAATAACGCAGAGACCATCTTGTGGAGGGACAGCCTGTCCAACTACGCAATATAAGAGATGCTATGGAGGGTGAGTAGCAATAATGATATATTTTTCTCTTTGTTATAAGAATGCAAACTTATGTTCATATATTAATGTTCAATTGTAATTCCCACTTTGACCTGCGCGGCCGAGAAATGAAATCCATTATTTCATCACGTATACTTGACGCGGCTCAGTTGCAGAAGTCTTCTGCAAATCATATACTTCCAGATTGTGTAAAACGTAAGTACGCAACATGTTGTATACGTTTACGTAAATCAATTTGTCTATTACGCAGTGTTTTTTTTTGCATTCGCAGTCAAGTGAAAATTAGGCGTTTAGCTACTATATGCTTTGTTTAAAATCCATACACGTTTCCGCTTCAATCTTTTTCAAATCAAACAGGATTCCATTTAGTCTTTCGTTGTTAAAAATTGTTAACGTAATGTCTTGAGAATACGCCTAGACCCATGTCTTCAATATGTGCTTATACTGACTATTTTGAAGACCCACTTATCAAGCTTACGTCTTTCGTCATGTGTAATACACCATCATCATATATACATGCCCTGTTTCTGCTTGCCTAAGCGCTTTTTATGAGTACCAAGTCATTTTTGGTAAAAGCAGTAGTGATTCTTGCCATTGGACAATAGGTTGGGGCCTTAGGGCGCAAGTTGGAAATCAACTGACTGTGGTCGTGGCTTAGAAAAAAGAAATATTTTCTACAAACATATGAAACCGTTAAAACGTACTGATTGCTATCCGCGTTAAAGATAATCCGTTCCCCAATCATTCGAAATTATATGTCCACGCTACCGGCGGGGCTGGCTCCACTGCTCCACTCTTTACACCTTACCAGCACGTTTTGCACGCGGATGTACGCTACCAGCACTTTTCAGAGATAATACAAGGCAAAAATCTATTCGCATTTCTTGTAACTGTACATGGAGAGTCGCTGTAGTACGTGTATGTAGACAGGTTTATTACATGTGTTGCACTGCGTTTGTGGTTCACTGTTTTCGTATGAGTTGTCATTTTGATACGAAGACATTAACGTACCTTGATGCCTTATTAACGTTTTACGTTGACAGCTTATAACTTACGCAATGTCTTTGCTTTTTCACTTGATCGTCCTAGATTTTGCGCATATCACATTTCGATAGAATAAAACGTTTCTGTTGGATATCACGCACAGGTTATGAAGATAAACTCTGGTTTTCTACGTTAGCATCCATAAAGTTCATAACACAGAGCCTTTGGTCATTTAAAACAGATTTTACTTCAACTTATACGCAAAGCCTTTTGCGTATGACGCTTGCGTATCAGATATATGGCTATGTTGGAGGCGTTATAATCCCGTAAGCCATTTTACAGATTATTCTCTAGAAAAAAATCTAGGTGCGAATGCGTGCTAACATATATTTTGCCGCGAATAAACAATCATGATAAAGTTCATAACACAGGGCCTCATTTTAAAACAAATCTTACCTTACTACCTTGCGGAAACGCATCGAACACGACTATGTTCCCAAGAAATACTTCCAGCTGTTATATCACTGCATTTCCTTTTACTGAACTTAGGAGTTCTCCTTTGAACGGCAGCGTTATAAACGGATAAAGAGCTGTGTCACGCCATTCATAACGGTTTATAGCACCACACGATGACGAACTATTTTATTTATTGCACTTATACATGGAAAGTTTAATAAACTTAAGTAAAATTGCTGAATAATTAGTCAGAAAAATTAAGCGAAATTCGTAAAATTAGTGTAAATTCATACATCATGTCTGATTGAGCAGATTTGCATCGCAAGTAACGCCATTTTTTTCCTCTAAGTGCAAGTATGGACATGTTCGTCAAAAGATACTGCTTTATCTAGTATCAATGATTCGGCAAAAATTGAGCAATGGTCGTAAAGTTATAATAACATTTAGTCTTCATTTAAAATAGAAACTTGCAGGAAGTCTTTGAGCCGGTCTTTTAATATCTAAAGGTACGCAAACATTCTAAGCTTTTTTAATAGCAGTTTGCATATTATTTTATTCTACCTCGCTAAGATACGCCAGAGCAGAGATTTGACCCCCTTCGGCGAGAAAATCCTCAATTAACGGAACGCGTTTCTTAAAAAAACAAAGCTTTGATTGCTTCATTTTGCATTAAACCTCAATAATGATCAATAACTGTGAACATGAGATTAAGATAAAACCATAAAAACAAATTAAAACAATCTCAAGAATTATATTGAGTTAAACCTGTTTGTGTAGGTGATACCGGTTCTCGAACTGCTCTCCGTAAACTGACCTGTGTTTACATATCATTTAACTAACTTTCATACGGTCTCTTGATTGACAGTTGGGCTGTGGTAATGTTGGATTGAGCCCATAATACACACTGGTCTTTTGTGCGAAGCCATTTCATCAAAAATGCGTCTTTTAACACTTGCGCTAATCATCGTTGCTTTTACTCTTTTCGTTCAAAACACGGAGGCTTGGCTTGGTCGACGCAGAAGACGGCGATGCTCGCCCGGTTGTGTTTGGTCGAGCTGGGGTGGATGGGGCTCCTGCTCCGTAAACTGCGGAGGTGGAAGAAGATGGCGATCTCGCTACCCTCGACATGGGCAAGGAGCTTGTGGTGCAAGCTGTTCTGGTTCTTCATCATCAAGTTCAATGTGTAACTCGCATTGCTGTAGGGTGGACTGCAGTTGGTCCTGGTCGTCTTGGAGCCCTTGCCGCGGGTGTGGGATTTCGACTCAATCTAGAAGAGTTGTCATTAGAAGAAGCCCCTCTTGTGGAGGCAGAGCTTGCCCGTCGACGGTGCCACAATCTCGCAGCTGTAACACTGGCGTGTGAGTAGTCTCGATCGTTTTGATAAAGGTTTAAAACGCAAAAGTTTTGTTAAGTATATATTACGAAGTAAAATTATATCCGTACTATATTCGGGATGAGGAATGTGCCTTGACAAATGCTTTTGCAAGCATGGAAAAAGACACTCTTCGCGTCGCGAATCGAGCCTCTCAGAATCAAGGAAAAAAATTGATTTTCCTGATTATTTCCTGAGAATTGATTTTTATTAAGTCAAAAATCGCGAAATAAGCTGTTAGTTTTCATTAGTAGAATTTTCTATGTTGTAATGGAAAAAAATTGCGCTCTAATTCTTTAAAAGTGATTATTTTTCCGGCTGAGTTTATATCCATTAAAACTGATGTTCCCGTGGCTTTTAAAAGTGCGCTGATGTTGGTACTGTTCCCTGCCGCTCAAAACGGTCGCGGCACGGTCGGTGCAAAACATACTTTCTATGTAACCCAGTCAACATAAATATAGCCACTTATAAAGTATTTGTCATTTTCAAGACACCGAGCAGCTAAAAATTCATAACATAGAAATAAATCTTTTACGACATAATTTGCTTTCATATGTAATTAAATGATAAACAGAATATTACATGGTCGTTTGGAGATACGAATTTTATCTTCTCGTGTTGAAAATCTCTCACTCGTTCGCTACGATCACTCGTGAGAGATCTATTCAACAACTCGAAGATAATATCCGTGTCTCCGAGTGCCCATGTAATTTGTCTATGTAATATCTTGCGTTGTGAATATGTTTTTAATAGGTCACGTTTAGTGCAAAATTGAGTCATCTAATCAAACTACTAGTTAAACATACGATATGCTGACGTTGCATCTTCACATCAGCCTTGCATCATTTGACGGAACGTTTAACCATCTAAGAACATTTCACTTTTTTAGTTACCATATCGTGCAAAAACTTTTGCAGTTTCTTTTATAGTTTGAGATAAAACTCGCCATTTTCTCCTTTAAATGAAAAATGTTTTGAAAAAGTTGTATGTTTTAGAAGTAACTTGCTTAGGCAGGTATCGGTCAAGGTTAATTAACACTACTTTTTTTGTCAAAGAAGGAACAATAGGCATTGAACTGAAGACTTTTTTTAAAAAAAACGTCGTTTGGCTTGCACTGTACTAAAGCCCGTTTACACTTGCGCCTTTTTCTCTTTTTTTCACGAGCGCGATTATTCCGCGATGTCGTGCGAGCATTGCCTGAGCTTCGAGCATGCTTGAAAATTGGCTGCAACTTCGCGACGATGTTTTGATTGCCTCGACAATCGCAGGGCTGTTTACACATACGATTCCAGTTGCGCGATAGCAAATTGGCGATTGTCACACGACAAACAGAAAAATATCGTCTGAGAGCAAAACTCTGAGACGGTCCTAATAATGACTTTATCAACCTTTCAATTACAATTCCATAATCAACTATAATATTCGTGTATCAAAATGTTATCCGCTTATTTAAAATGATAAATTTTGTTGGTTTACAAATTTGAACTCATTGTTTAAGAAGTCTGTTCTGCATTTTGTATTTTGTAATTGCTGGTATCTAAAGAACTTCATAACTTTTTGACATTGAAACGTGAGTGCTTGAGATACATGTCTGTACAGTACGTAAGACAACAAAATTAATATTATATCATGTTCATTTTAGAAACAAGACTTATTTTCTACATAATAGTTTTGAATATGTAATGATTCAAGTATTTTGCTATATATATTATTATACAGCTGTTTGCAATAATTCTGACCCCCCTACACTAATATTCATATATATCAAAGTATCCTTAGAAGTTATGGGATACCAATGCTGATATTTTTTTGAGAAAGTACTCATTCTGGACAACTCAAAAAATATATCAGTCATGATATCCCATAATATTAAAGGTCAGTTTGATATATATGAAATATGGCAGAGGGGGTCAGAATTATTGCAAACAGCTGTATATTTATCAAGCCTTAATATCAATATTTAACGGTAATGAAAACGTAAGCCGCAGCGTGCATGCAGACCGTTACGTTCAATAGTTGCGTTACGGACGCAGTGATAGTGAAAGTTGACCTTACCAACGTTAACCGCTATAGCGTTTCTTCAATCAATTTTCCCGCCATCAAAACAGGCAGAATAACTACTTCTAGTTGTTTTATTTCTATTCCTCGATAAAAATAAGCTTCTTCTAATGAACACATGTTTTTTTGTAGATCTAAATTAATGCGTTACGTTAATTCCGTTTTATAACTGTTTTGATATTTGATCCTCTTTCGTAAATTCTTCATGCTTGCGATAGTTGTTGATTCAATCTTTTCTAACCAAAACAAACAAGCTTTTATAATGTTAAACAACTTTAATGTTGGATTAAGCTATCAAAATTGTCAGCATTAGTGTCATTGTAGAAAATTGCCATGTTTTAAAAATCGTAGGTAATTTGACAACAGTGAAGTCACTAATTAATCGCGAAAATAACACAATTTGATTGGTTGTTTACGAATCATCCGACACATCAATGAAGTAAAGTACTACAGGGGATGATTGATCGTACGTTACAACCGTACCTGTCGCAAACCTCGTAGTGGATTCCATACGACTAAATTTCTTCTCTTACCGAGCGTCCAAGCTTATATCTGCACACAAGACGGGCACCGACCTGTACCCCTAAGGGAACTCCTCATAGACAACAGTCTATAGTTCATAAGTCCTCGTATAAGCTGGTACCGTAAGATCGACGAGGTCACCGCTGGTTATCAGCTTGCACAGTGCAAAATCAACAAGAAAACTGTGAGTAAACTTAGTGAGCATTCACCTTGTCATCATCCTGAGTTCATCAAACTAGAATCTGTGTGTGGCGTCAACGAACTAGACGCTTGGGTCGACGTTTACATATATATTATAAAGATTAATCATCAACTCAACCAGCTATGAAACTTGCCATCTTGCTGCCGGCTCTACTCGTCTTCAACTTGTTCTTACAAACTCAATCGTGGTTTTTCGTGAAGAGACGTCGAAGGAGCTGTTCCCCTAGCAACTGTCGCGTTAGCAGTTGGGGTTCATGGAGCTCATGCTCTAAATCGTGCGGTGGTGGGACGCAAGGCCGCGTACGATACAAAACAGTCGGTGCGTCTTGTGGAGGAAGCTGTAACTACAATTTTCAAGAGACTCGCACTTGTAACGTAAACTGTTGTCCTGTTAATTGTGTATATTCATGGGGATCATGGAGCTCTTGTTCAGGATGCGGAAAATCGACGCAGTCTCGTTCTCCAAACATCAAAGTCAGACCATCTTGTGGAGGGCGATCGTGTCCAGGAAAACAAAGCCGATCATGTGACACGGGAGTGTGAGTAGCTATTTGCAAATTCTATGTTTTCTACAATTTTGATATTTTAAGTTGTGATTTCACAATCACTTTCATAGCACCAGTCAGCCGTCTTTACGAATTTCAACGTCCTTCGTATTAAATAAACGTAAAGGTATATATCCGCCAGTACTTACGCAATGTTTGCGCAATAATTACGCAACACTTATGTATCCAACGGAAATGGAACACCGCGGCCATACTTCAGCGCATGCTCGTGGCGACAGAAATTTTCATCATTTTCGAGAGTTGTGACTCATTTGAACTCAATTTATAAGAATTTACTTGTGAATATGTAAGCTCACTCTTTTCTGTATAGATTTTTTAACCAAGATTTCAAAGTTTTATATTCCCGCTTTGTTTCGTTTTAATTTCTCGCATAACTCGCTGATATTTGAGCGATTTTCTTCAGTACAAACGAAGGCTCTCGATAAATGTATCTCACGGACGATCACAGAAAGCGACGGCAACAATTTTTGATCAATAATGCAAACGTTCTCTGCTAGCAGAGTTTTACTGGACTGGATTGTAACTATAACGAGAGAGACTCTGCTAGCAGGGAAATGTAGATGTTGCCCAAGACTACGCATTTGTCGCGCGGGCCGATTACATCGGCCTTTGGTAGCTTTAGGGTTAAGTCTAGAACATATGTAAGTATTAAGTTATACGGAAGTAATCATTGAAAGTTCACGCATGCGTAGATGACCCCGGTTTTTATGGAGAGACTTCCATGACAAATTTGGCAAACTATGGCTGGTTCTGCGTGTTGTTCGCGTATACAAGTTTTAGGAGAATTTGGGGATTTAATTTTTACTTGGTAGATATCTATCAACAATGACGGTATCATTTTAGACGTTGTTTCCCTTCATTTCTTGTCGTTACCTTAATTAAAGTTTCCCAGAAGGACAAAAAGAAATGTTTCCGAATGTCATGTAGTTTCGATGCTGATATCATTATGTTTTCAATACCATCATTTGCTATGTCTTATTATTATTTATCATAGCTTGTGGGATAATTGTTTAAAGTTTTGGTTAATCGAATACATCGCTCTTTCTCGAGTTTTCTAAGCCACCAACGAAGCGGCGAGCAAGAGATCACGTGATATGTTCATATGATACTAAGTCGAGTGTCTTTCTCAACATTTTCAAGACGGTATTACAAGACGGCTTTTGAGCATTTATTCACCTATTCAAAGTCTACGAACAACTGAAGATTCTTGTAATGACATTTAGTGCTAAAACTTGGAAAAGAGAGAAAAGACTTTTGACGTATAATTAACTTCCGGCATTGTCAAGTATATTGTATCTTCATTTTATCAGGTTTTTTTGTTTTTGCTGGAATTTATTGTTAACTGTAATAATTGTATTCTTAAAAATCAATATTATTCCGGTTTAAATGAAAGTTTTAAATGAAAAGATTTGTTATGCATCATAAAGCTTTGTTTATTTTCTCACAGAAATACGTTTCGGCAAATGATTTAATGACGAAGGAATTAGCTTCCTCTCGTCGTGAATCGGATATCAGAATCAAGGAAATAGAATCGTGCAATAGGTAATTTAGTTTTCTTTCGGGTAAAAATTTATATTTATTTTTGAAAAAGGCATTAATGTAGATTTTAAAGGTATTGCCAATTCTGGTTCAGCTTTAATGCCCTTCCGCTCAAACAAGTCGCTAAACTTTGAGGTATTATCAAAACTGCAGGTAGCTCAATGATTCTAAGTTTTCCAGGTTGACTCTTAGCCTCTCTAACAGTACATTATGCCGCTTTCAATCCTTCGATTGGCTAGTTTCAAGTTATTATTACCATGTTAGATATCCCTAGCGCATAAAGTATTGATAATATCTTGAGTCATTGTGAATTTAAAAGGTCAAGTTTAGTACAAAAGTTAGTCAAATCTTACTCAAACACGGAATATGCTGACGTTGCGTATTCTAATTGTACAAGCGACGGAAGATTAAACTTTTCCTTTTTAATTTTTTACTTCTAATATACAAATACTTTGCATCTTCTTTTGGCATAAAAGCTGTCGTTTTATGGTTTGAACTGAAAAATGTTTCATAAGTTTTTATCCTTAGGCGTAATTTGTTTAGACAGGTTTTAGGAAAGGTTAAGAAAATCTTCTGTTATCAGTGTGGAACTGTTTTCAATTAAAATTGTCTCTYGAATTTGTTTTTTGAAGATAGAGACATTGCCTTCAAGAATTGCAAGCCAGCAAAACGTTTTTGTGGCAATATCGTTTATAATATTCCTTTAATGACTCAATTTTTAAGTCCCTAACAAGCAGCATTAAAATGATAGATTTTAGTAATAAAATGTATAAAGTATTTGTCATAAAGTGGGGATTTATGTTTGCATCGTCAATTCACGTGTATTTAATATATCTTGATTCTTGTTTACATTAACAATTTCGATCACATTTCTTTTATAAACTTGCTTACGCATCCGACGTTCTATAAAAAATACTATCTCATGATTTCTCTAGTTATTTTGACACATAACCGTCCATATATATCTAGCGAATCATGGCTTGCTGGGCCCTATAATAGATAGAGCAACCGTGTTCGTTATAGCATGGATAATAAAAGCACTGGTGCTTTTATTATCCATGGCTATAGTATTCTACCTCTTTCAACAAGTTCAACAGTCCACGTCAGTATGTGCTTACATCACCACGAGTTTGTGTTGTATGTGTTGAGTTTGTGTTGCCCTGGAACCAGCAAACAAGCTCGCTCAATGCAACTCGGGGTGCATATTAGCTCTTTGATAAAAAGGTATTCAAACATAAAGTTTTTCTTGAAGGTTCTGTTGTACATTTTGGATTTTCTAGAACAAACTTTACTTCGTCTATAGGGTTGTTTGCTGCTGTCAGACAGGCGGGCTTGTAGTGCAGTGACCYCTTGAAAAAACATTCATTTCTCCGCAATATAATTGCACTGTCAATTTTTCTCGTTTTAGAAATATAAAGCTTACAGTAAGGATTCACTAGCTACAATGTAGCATTTTCAATTCCTATATACATTTGTTTACGTAAGTTCATATGAAACGTCATGAAACGTATTGTGCTGACCGTTACGGTTGATAGTTACGCTACGGCTGTAAAGTGATAGTAATAGTGAAAGTTGACCTTACGTTGACGTAGCGTGGGCTGCGTTTATCCCGTTTATCAACATTCCCGCTATCAAAACAAACAGAAAAAGTATTCCTAATTGTTTTAGTTATATTTCTCGATTAAGAAAAGTTTCAATCTTCAAATAAGCACAAATTTATCAGTTTTTTCCTTCACGTCGATTGTAAAATGTGAAAAAGTTCGGTTTTATAACTGTTTTGTACAGTAGGTAATGTCATAAGCAGTCATGGAAATAACGCAATTTGATTGGTTCCTTAAGTATCATCCCACATAACATTGAAGTCAAATGGTTGAACACAAGTTACAATCGTACCTGTCGCTAACCTCAAAATGGTCTCGCACAACGTATTAATCCCTGGAAGCCTAATGTTTGCGCACAAGACAAGCACCAACCTGTACCCCTAGTGGGAAATCCTTCAGTTAGCTCTCAAGGCATGGTCTAAGGTGGTACTGTTAGATCGTTTAGGTCGCAACATGGGGAGTACATCAAACTAAAATCTGTGCGCGGCGATCAGTAACTAGACTCTTGAGTCAACGTTTACAATTATATTATAAAGATAAATCATCAACTGAACKAAAACTGCCATGAAAGCTACCATTTTGGTTCAAATTCTACTTATCTTCAACTTGTTCTTGCAAACTCAATCGTGGTTTACGCGACGTCGACGCAGTTGTTCCCCTAGGAACTGYCGCGTTAGCAGTTGGGGYTYATGGMGCTCATGCTCTAAATCGTGYAGCGGCGGTAGGCAGAGCCGCACACGTAGCATAACCGTTAGTGCGTCTTGCGGAGGAAGCTGCAGCTACAATCTCAAAGAGACTCGTACTTGTAACGTAAACTGTTGTCCTGTTAATTGTGTATATTCATGGGGATCATGGAGCTCTTGTTCAGGATGCGGAAAGTCGACGCAGTCTCGTTCCCCAAGCATCAGAGTCAGACCATCTTGTGGAGGGCGATCGTGTCCAGGAAAACAAAGCCGATCATGTGACACGGGAGTGTGAGTAGCTGATTGCCAAGATTGTATTTTTATATGGGGTTTGTGTGATTTCCCAGCCTTTCAGAGCACAAAATGAGACGTCTTAACGAACGCTTTAGTAAATATGCAGTGTAAAGATCCACCAAAATAAGCKCAATGCTTGCGCAAAAATAATGCAATAGTTAGATATGGMTCCTACGRAAATACCTGTATAGCGGGTCCGTATAAATATTAATAGCTATATCACAGTTAACTCTGGCTTTATGAATGCCGTATGATTTTGATGAATATTTGGGTGATTAAGCATGAGGGTTTTACATGACAATATGACAGCTATATGACAGCTATAMTTTTCACCAATTAAACGTGAATTTTGTTACAACTGATAACGTTTTTTGATAGACATGTTATAGTAATTTTGTTTCAATTGTTTTTGTTGTTATAACAGTCATTCATGACATATATTCGTAGTTTTATGGTTTTTCTTCAAACTAGATGTATCTCCTGTCTTCATCGGGATCGAGGACTTTGTATTCCTACCCGTTTTACGTATTGCCATACTGTGATTTAGTAGCAAGGGTTACGTCTTTATCTCATCAAAAATACGCATTAGATTTGTTTACGGAAAATACAACGTGACAGGTACGACGCTCGCCGTAATTGATGCGAAAACGTTTTTCATTGTTTACCTTCACAACAGTTTGATATTACTCGTTATTCCGAACAGATCTAAAAGTCGTAACCTCAAAAGTATTAAAAACAAAAACCAGAGAATATATATATATATCTCTTAGCTTTCAAACTTTGATTTTTACCGCTCCTTATAACCCATATGTTTATTCTAGATTTTCATGTCATGTTTTTTTATTCTGCCGATCAAATCACTAAAATGCACCGAAAAGAATAGGCGCTTTTTGTTTCGATCGGATGTTGTACTCAGCCAATCAGCATGCGTGTTCTACTTTGATAAAGCGCATACCTCAGGCCATCAGTGTTCGTGTTGTAAGTATTTTATTTCTCCATAAGACCATTTGCGCGATATGGCGTGATTTGCATTTTAAAAGGATGAGCCTATGCATGTTTGCAATGGCTTTAAAAGCAGTCAAAGGGCTAAGGGGTCAGAAACGTTATCAATTTGCATTTATCAATTCMCGATCATCTAGTGGAAATTTGTTCACTTATTTATTCTTTCTTTTCTTTTTTTTCTCTTCATTCTTCAATTTYCCTTTTTCTATTTTGTCCGCTATTCTTTCTTTTATATCTTATCCTTTCATTTTTTTCCACMAGTTGCTGTCCAGTGAATTGTGTTGTTAACAGTTGGGGGAGCTGGGGAGCTTGTGACGCCTCCTGCGAACAAAGTGGCAAGCAGACACGAACACGGTCGATACGCACGCGTCCCAGCTGCAAGGGCACAGCATGTCCAACTCTAATCGATACAAAACCCTGTAAAGGTGGCTGTTGTCGAAGAGATTGTTTGGTCTCAAGTTGGTCAGCATGGAGCAAGTGTAACGCTCCGTCTGGCAAGTGTGGACCCAA